CCCTCCTCCTCCTGTTCATCCCTCCTCCGCCTCCTCCTCCTCCTCTTCTCCTCCTCCCTCTCCTCTTCCTCCTCCTCCTCCTCCTCCTCCTTCTCCTCCTCCTCCTCCTCCTCCTCCTCCTCCTCTCCTCCGCCTCCTCCTCCTCCTCCTCCTCCTGCTCCTCCTCCTCCTCCTGCTCCTGCTCCTCCTGCCCTTCGTCCTCCTCATCATCCTGGTTCCCTCCTTTCTCCCTCCTCCCTTCTCCCTCCTCCCCCCTCCCTCCTCCTCCCTCCACATCCCTTCTCCTGGGCGCTCATATTTGCCTCGTCCTCCTCCGGAGGAGATGAGGCCGACGTCGTCGTCGAAAGAACAAGCAGACAGACAGACGAGGAGGAGGGGGAGGAGGAGGAGGAAGAGGAGAAGGGAGGAGGAGGAGGAGGAGGTGGGAGGAGGGAGCACGAGGAGGAGGATTGGCAAGATAATGGGAGGCGTTAAGGGCGCATTGGGGAACGAGGGGGGGCGGAGGAGGAGGAGGAGGAGAAGGAGGAGGAGGAGGAGGAGGAGGAGGAGGGAGAGGAGGGGGGGGGGGAGAAGGAGGAGGAGGGAGGAGGAGGAGGAGGAGGAGGAGGAGGAGGAGGAGGGAGGAGGAGGAGGAGGAGAGGAGGAGGAGGAGGAGGAGGAGGAGGAGAGGAGGAGGAGGAGGAGGAGGAGGGAGGAGGAGGAGGAGGAGGGGGAGGGGGAGGGGGAGGGGGAGTTCCTCCTCCTCCTCCTCCTCATCATCATCATCATCATCATCATCATCCTGGAGGAAATACAGACCTTCACGCTCCAGGCTCCAGCAGGAGGAGGAGGAGGAGGAGGAAGAGAAGCAGGATGAGGAGGAGGAAGAGAAGGAGGAGACGGAGGAGGAGGAGGAGGAGGAGCTTGGTACGTTGGAAGGAGGAGGAGGCGAAGGAGGAGAAGGAGGAGAAGGAGGAGGAGACGAAGGGGGCGCGAAGCGCATGATTGCATGCATCGCAAAGCGTTCAAAAAAAACATCAATACAACGCTATGGGGGCAGACGTAACGCATGCTTCTGTTTGAAAAATAAGAAATGGTAGAACACCTACGTTCGCAACGCATGTTTTTAAACAAAAAACTGAAAAGTAATACATTTAACAAAAACAACTAACTAGAACGCAATTTCCACAACTAGAACCACTCCAAAACCTAACTTCCAAGTAACTTACACGCTATAAAAACCGCTTCAAGCAAACAACCAACTATTTTCCGTGTCTTCCACAACTTGCACTTTTCATGTTATGTAAGGTCTGGCATATCAAGTTAAGGTCTGGGAGATCAAGTTAAGATCTGGAATATCAAGTTGGTATGATCTGCCACAGCTTCCCCACAACTACCAGAACTAGGTATGGACATATCAGAACAATTTGCGCGCGGAAGCCTTGTCCTGCTCTGGCATGCCGGCCACTGCCGCGGCCGCGGCGTCTGACTCCTCCAGCTGCCGGTGGCGCCTCCGCTTCGCCCTGCCCTGCACAATCGAAGCTGTCTCGCCGTAGTTCGGGTTCTTTGAGCCGCGCCAATCGCAATGCAAGAACGCGTCGTTGATGGAGGCGTCGCGCTGGGGGCATTGACCGATCTTCCCGACAGACATGCGCCGCCCGCTGCGGCAGCGCGTCCTCGGCGTCATCCGCGACGTACGTACTTTCTGTATCTTCGCGAGAAGACCCGGCGGAACAGCGCCTCGGCGCGATCCACGAGAACGGCCTCGCGCCAAACGGGCCCGCCCAATTCGAGGCCGACCGCCGGGGCGCCGCCGGTTGCGTCGACGCGCCCGCGGAGACACCGCGGCGACGCGACAGGGCGCGCCCCCCACCACGAGGCCGCCAGCGTCGTGCATCGCGACGTCCTGTCGCAGCTGCCCCGACAGACTCGGCGCCTGGTCCAGCGTCGCCATCGCCTTCGTCGCGCGCGGGGCGAGAAAGCGGGGCCTCGCGTTGCAATGGAGGCAAACAAGCATGAACCCTGGTCGCAAACGGAGGCGCGCGCCGCCCCCGCTGTCGAGAATCAGCGCGAGGGCGTCCTTTGAGCGCGTCTTCGTGGCCCAGAAGACTACCGCTTCGGCGAACCGCTCCCAAGCGATGCCCCCGTTGGGCGCCGCCCGGATTCTCGCGCCTGGGAACAACTCTGCTCGGGCAGCGTCCGCCAGGCCCGCGCTCGCGATCACCGTAGGGTAGAGGTCGGCGAGGTCGCCGCCCAAACATAGGAACGGCAGGAGCGTGATGTGACCCATGCTCCCGACAGCCATCTGCGTGGTCGGCGCGAAGCTCGCCTTCGCGCAGATGCCCCATGACATGTTTATCGACAGTTCGCTGAAGCCTTTCTTGTCCGCCCACCATATCCGCGCGCCGCAATCGGGCGGGATAATTCGTCCCGCAGGATGCCCGCGTCAGCCAGCATCGCCTCAAGCGTGTCGAAAGATTCCCTGATGACCTCCGGCGATCAATCGGCCGCCACTTTCGGATTCAGACCCTGCAACTGCTTGCGGACAACGGGGTTCACCGTGACGCCGGGGATGTGGCCCTCGGTAGCCTTCGCGAACACGGGCGCCGCGTCCTGTTCGCCGGTCCATCATCATACTGCGACTCTCCCTGTGCGACTCTTTGTCTGCATCGGCGCCCCACTTAGCGATCCGCCTGTTGATCGGCGCGAACTTCCACATGGCCTCCTTGATCTCGCGCGGAGGCAAGGGGCCATTCCCAAACATGCACACCTCCACGTGCCTCGCCTTAGGCGGCGTCTGGGGTGAGTCCTCACCGCCTGGCCCAGAGGCCCCCCTCCAACACGAACGCCTCGCTCGAGACGTCCCCTAAATCTGGCCCCATGTTGGATTCATCAACGTTGCGACAAAACGATCGCATTACCATTAAAACAACTAGTGCGTATGGTAGAACACGCATCGTAGCAAACGCTCGGGTCGCAACACCCGAACAACAGGCCAGATGTGACCAAGGCCTGAGCGTCTTAGCACGGCCTGTACGTGCTCTGGTGAGGATAACTCGAACTGGCTGTGATTAGGGTCGTGCAGTGCTCATCGTTCTTCCTGCGTTGTCGTCGTGTCGTCGGTCCTCATCGGCTGCGAGCCAGGCTAATGGTCTTGCCATTGGGAGGTCAATCATGGCAAGCCAATAGCTATGAGATTAATCGCCACGGCCTCTTCTCGACAACTGCTGGTCCCAGCTGCGGATGATCGCGAGCCAGGCAGACTTTTAAAAGCGAGTCGCCTCCTCCTGATCCTCCTCCTCCTCCTCCTCCTCCTCCTCCTCCTCCTCCCCATCCTCTTCTCCACACAGATTGCCCCAAAGCGGCCTGAAGGACCGGCAAGAAGGCCCCAAGACGGTCCAAGACGCCCCCAACAGGGCCTAGTGGGCCTTCCGGAGGGCCCCGAGAGGCTTCCAAGAGGGGGAAGTCGAATGGGCCTCGCGAGCCTTGCTCTTCTTATCATTATGTCCTATTTGTCTTCCCATTCCTTCTCCTCCTGCTCCTGATCCTGATCCTTCTCCTCATCCTAATCCTCATCAGCATCAGCATCAGCATCATCACCAGCATCAGCATCAACATCAGCATCATAATCATCATCACCATCAGCATCATCATCATCATCATCATCAGCATCATCATCATCATCAGCAGCAGCATCATCATCATCATCATCAGCATCATCAGCAGCATCAGCAGCATCAGCATCATCAGCATCATCATCATCATCAGCATCATCAGCATCATCAGCATCATCAGCATCAGCATCAGCATCAGCATCATCATCATCATCATCATCATCATCATCATCATCATCAGCATCATCATCATCATCATCATCATCATCATCATCATCATCATCATCATCATCATCATCATCATCCGCCCTCTTCTCTGAATCCCTCTCCCCGCCCTCCCTGATTTGCTCGTCCTCGGCCTCCCTCTTTCCTCCCCCACCCCTCCCTCGCCTGCTGCTGCTGCTGCTGCTGCTCCTACTCCTCCGTCTTCTCTCGGAGCAGGGCGAGTTGACATAGCGACAAGTCAAAGTAGGTCCCTGGACCCCTCTCAGATTCCGAACGCACCAATTTTCCAAGCTGCGTCAAGCCGTGGCGGCGAGAGGCCCCCGAAAGTCAACTACTGCTATGTCATTGTGTAAACTCGCACTCCTCTGACCCTCTGTTTCTTCCGGAACCTCCCCCCGCCTCCTCCCGCCTCCCATTGTGTACTTCGAACGGCCTCAAGCGCCTGGGCAAATCTTCTCCCTCGGGCATCCGAACTATCTGGGATACACCTGGTCCGGAAAGGCCCCAATTTTGGGGCCCCCAAGTGAGATTCAGGAACACCCTGGCGCCGCTTGATCCTGGGCGTGCTGGACGGTATCTACATGGGGCAGAAGGGGGAAAGCTCGGGTGGGGTGACATCCTGGGCACATTCCGGCGCGAAAACGTGAGGCCCGAACCAGGAATTATCCCTGACCGCTCCCTGCTCTGATAACTCGGGGCTCCGACCATGCACTTCAAGCGGCCTCGGGCGCCCAGAGGGCCGGGGACGCGCGAAGCTCGGTCGGCCAGCGCCCTGTCGCGAAGCACGGCTGGTCGCCTCGTATCTCCCAAACCCTGAGTCGACGGAGGGCACGAAGGAGAAGTCGGCCCCAGGTGACTCCCGAACCCCGGGTGGGCCATGGGGGATTGGCCGACCCCCGTTAGCGCCGAACGACGAGCGGCGTCGGGTGCCCAGCAAGTTCGGCTACACGTATGAGTGACCGTAGGTTTCAGGTAAGAACGATTTTTGGTGCGTGACTGTCGGGGGCCGCGGGGAGGCCGAACCGGCGCGCGCAAGCCGCTGCTATCGCATCGCATTCAGCCAGCTGGGGACCCCACTGTGCAAAGATCACTGCGGCGAAATGTCACTCTTACGTGTCGCCGGCAAGTCCTCTCCCCGCACCTCCCCGCCGTCTCCCTCCCCCCCCCCCGTGTCAAGTGGACCTGGGAGATGCGCTCGTCCTCCGGCATCGGCTCGTCGCCCTCGGCGAGCGCGCCCCTCCTCCTCCTCCTCCTCCTCCTCCTCCTCCTCCTCCTCCTCCTCCTCCTCCTCCTCCTCCTCCTCCTCCCTCTCTTCCTCCTCCGTTCTCCTTCTTCCTCCTGCAGTAAACACATACGATTTGCCACCGTGCCTCGATGCACGACATGGCGTGTCCCCAGGTCGGCGTAAGGTCTCATAATGTTTTCCAGTATGTATTGGGATACTATAGTCTCAGAGGGGCTGCGGGGCCCAAATGTTCAAGACAATCGGGCTTTCCTGTGTTTTCTTGGGGTCGGTCGCTTGGATGTTCTAGCTTTTCCAGCGTTTAGAAACCCCAAGACGGGCCAGGACGGTCCCCCAACGCGCCCAAGAGGGCGCAAGGAGTCTCCCAGGGCCCAAGAGTGCTCCAAGACGTCCAAGATGGCCGCAAGACGGGCCGAAGCCCCCAAGAGCTCTCAAGAGTACCCCGATAGACCCGAAGCAATGATTTTCTTGTGGTTTATGACGGATGTTAGCCGTCCCTCCTTGTTTGCTTCCAACTGCCCAAGAAGCGCCCCAGAACGCCCCATGACGGCCTAAGAGGCTTCCCAGGGCGCTCCAAGTCGTCCGAAGGAAGCTCCAAGTTGGCCCACGATGCCCCCAATACGGCCCAAGATGCGTCCAAAGAAGCTTCCAGAGGGGCCCCTAAGTGGGGGCGGACTTGTCGAGCCGAACCGCTCCCCGTACGATGGCTCCCCAAACCCCCAGCATGCACCCAAGTGATCTTACAATAGGCACTAAAAAAACTCCAATACCTTCAAAGGAGCCGACACAATAACTCCAAGAAACACTCCGCGATGCACCCCAACAAAACACTCTGCCAACCATCGCACGAAACATCTCACGAAATATGCCGCCAAACACCTCACGAAAAACAAACGTCTGACCCCCAATACACATCATGAAACAACCGCCGACACATGTCACGAAACGCCCCATACCATACCCGACGAACCACCCCGTGAAACACAAAGCGAAATACCTCTGGGCACACACACGCCCCCCCCCCCCCCCACACACACACACACACACACACCACACACACACACACACACACACACACACACACACACACACACACACACCACACACACACACCACACACACACACACACACACACACACACACACACACACACACACACACACACACACACACACACACACACACACACACACACACACACACACACACACACACACACACACACACACACACACACACACACACACACACACGCACACACACACATACCCACACACCCACACACACATGTTTTACGTCGGCGGCGAGGCAGAATAATGCTGCACCAGCGGGAAACGATCCAGGGCATCCGAAGAGCGAATTGGCCAGCATGCAGGAGAAGGGAAATAGACAGACACAGCGGCCGCAGAGGAGGGGGGAATCAGAGGGCACTGAGATGCGGAAGGATTCCAACCCGAGCGCGCCGATGTGGCTAGCAACGGCAGCGGGGACCGTGGCAGCGGATGAGCCGCGGCGTCGGCGCATCCACGGGCGCTGCCAATGCCCAATATGCGGAATAACATGTGCGAGTACAGCGACGGCGTCCAGGAGTGGGCCAACTAGGTACTGCAAGTGACGAGATTTGCAATCTAGGCGTCAAAACGCCAGCAGCAAATTCTGTGCCCGCTGGGTGTAGGGCAGGCTGCGGCGTAGCGCAGGCCTCAACCAGGGGGAGCTGCACGCCAGGGGCTGCAGCGACGGCGCCATGGCGGCGCGCGCAGGGAGGGAGGGAAAGGCGCGGGGGAAGGGGAAAGAAGGGCAAGAGGGAGGAACGCCCCGCCTGAGGGGAACCCCAGTAAGCGGGGCGACAGCGCCTGGCGGCCCAGCACCAGCGCTGCTGCTGCTGCTGCCAGGCGGGTGGTATCACAGTCGTGGCGCCGGGTGCGTCACACGCCACGGCAAGGAACCACACCGCAGCAAGAGCCATTGGAGACCACGCGTCGTCTGGGGAGGGCAACGCATGGTCGGTCTAGGGGCCCCTAAACGGGGCAGTTATCGATGACGAAAAAGGTGGCAAAAGCCGATGGAGGCCACGCGCCGTCTGGGTGGACAGCGCATGGCCGATCCAGGGGCACCTAATCGGCGCAATTACCTGTGAGTGCAGAGGGGGGCCACTTACCGCACGGGGAGGGCGGCGCGCGGGGGGAACAGGAGGGCCACGCGCCGTCTTGGGAGGACAGCGCACACACACACACACACTCACACGCACACGCACACGCACAGGCACACGCACACGCACAGGCACACGCACACTCGCACGCACACGCACACGCACACGCACACGCACACGCACACACACACACACATTCACACACACACACACGCACACGCACACGCGCACACGCGCACACGCGCACACGCGCACACGCGCACACGCGCACACGCGCACACGCGCACACGCGCACACGCGCACACGCGCACACGCGCACACGCCACACGCGCACACGCGCACACGCGCACACGCGCACACGCGCACACGCGCACACGCGCACACGCGCACACGCGCACACGCGCACACGCGCACACGCGCACACGCGCACACGCGCACACGCGCACACACGCACACTCGCACACACGCACACACGCACACACGCACACGCGCACACGCGCACACGCGCACACGCGCACACGCGCACACGCGCACACGCGCACACGCGCACACGCGCACACGCGCACACGCGCACACGCGCACACGCGCACACGCGCACACGCGCACACGCGCACACGCGCACACGCGCACACGCGCACACGCGCACACGCGCACACGCGCACACGCGCACACGCGCACACGCGCACACGCGCACACACGCGCACACACGCGCACACGCGCACACGCGCACACGCGCACACGCGCACACGCGCACACGCGCACACGCGCACACGCACACACGCACACACGCACACACGCACACACGCACACACGCACACACGCACACACGCACACACGCACACACGCACACACGCACACACGCACACACGCACACACGCACACACGCACACACGCACACACGCACACACGCACACACGCACACACGCACACACGCACACACGCACACACGCACACACGCACACCCGCACACCCGCACACCCGCACACCCGCACTCACACACGCGCACACGCGTACACGCGCACACGCACGCGCACGCGCACACGCACAGCACATGCACACGCCCACCCTCCCACACACACACACACACACACACACACACGCACACACAATCACACACACACACACGTACACACACACACAGACACACGCGCGCACACATACATCCACGCACTCAAACACGCACACCCACACACACACACCACGAAACACCCGACGGCATGTCTCACTAAACGCCTCGCGAAACACCCCACAAAACACCCAACGGATCACAACGCGAAACGCTCCGCGAAACATCGCCACGAACCAACCCACGAAACACCCAACGACACACCCCGCGAAACACTCCACGAAACACTCCACGGTCACGAAACAGTCCGGGACACATCCCACAAAGGATAACCCCGCGAAGCACTCCACTCAACACTCCACGATCACGAAACAATCCAGGACACATTCCACGACACACCTCAATAATCATCCCGCGACACCAAGAGACCTCTGAGGAACATCCGAGACGCGCCCCAAGGGTCCCTCATATGAATCGAAGAGGCCTCTGACCCACGACCCAGTGAACGGTGGCAGGTTCTGCCGGAGACGATATTAGAATTCTCGCTGCAAGAAACCTTGGAACACATTCTTCGTCGGTTATTTTGAAGGTCCTGAGTTGCCCCTGAGCTTCTTTGGGTCCCTGGGGCCAACCGAGGAACAAGAAGCTTCTGGGGGGCATCTGCTGAAAGGCCGACTCCTTGTTTTATGCGCCTATTGCCTACTGTGTTTCTGCAGGTGTACTCCCCCCTCCCCTTTCTACTCCCTGGTCCTTCCTCCTCCTGTGGCAACTGCGCTGTCTCGTCCGTTTCTCGACGAGTGGTGGTGCAGGCTATCGTGTCCAGAGGGTGGCCCGGGATCCTAGTGTCAACATTCGTGGCATCTTGGTTGCGCCTTCGGCACGTCGCGGAGTCGGCCCCCGTGCCACCGAATTGAACTCCGAAGTGAGTGTTCCAGTGCCCCAAAAAGGTGGCATGTCCCGTACGCGAGGCCGAAAGCTGGCGGCTCTGAACGGGCCCCCGCCTAGCACATTACGTCACTGTCCTCCTCCTCCTCCTCCCTCCTCCTCCTCCTCCTCCTCCTCCTCCTCCTCCTCCTCCTCCTCCTCCTCCTCCTCCCTTCTCCTCCTCCTCCTCCTCCTCCTCCTCCTCCTCCTCCACCTTCCCCCTGGTCATTGAGCAGCCGCTGGCACGGTTTGCCGTCGAACCGCGGCCTGCTGCCTCGCGGTGCGCCAGCCCCGAAAACGCGAATGACCAACGTGTGTGCTCCGTTGTCTCTGGGCTTTGTCTCCCCAATTATTCGTCAGGGCGTTCGGGTCTTCAGGGTGCGCTCCTTTCCTCGGCTGGCTCCCCCGTCCCGCGCGAAATCGGGACACTTCCCAAATCGGTTGGCGCAGGTTGGTTTCGGCGGGCCGAGGGTGGCACTGGTGCTGCTTGAATATTCGGTGGAAGGCCATGGCCTGCGTAGAGGGACACACCAGGGGAGGGTCGGATGCTTCGCGGGTCTGCACGACTCAGTGCCCCTCCTCCTCCGACAGGAACAGACTCAACCCAACTCACCCAGCGGAGCCTTTCCCGGCGAGAGCGTCGGAGTGGCTGGGGGAAGGTATTAATCTGGCGGACTTTGGGGAAAGGTACATGTGTTCACTTCGCTTCTCGTTCTTCGGCGAACGCTGGCTTGTCGCTCTCTTGCGCCACCGTCACCTGACCTGCCTTCTCCCCTCCGCACTCTTCTCCACCCGAACAACCAATCAACCTCAGAACAACTTGTAGAAGCGGACCGGAAAGAACAGAAAACCTTCAAATATCTTGCAACACAATCGCAGACCTTCCGTCAACATCCGGACACTTCTGGATACGTCCTCCTCCTCCTCCTACCCAGTTTCTTCCATCCGCCCTCCTTCCTCCTCTTCCTCCTCCTCCTACTCCCTCCTCTTCCTCCTCGTCCTCGTCCTCGTCCTCCTCCTCCGTCTGCGGGCTTGCTAAAAAATGTGCAGGCCCCCCGACCAAAGACAAGCGTGACAACGGCCGCCGTCATGCTTGGTCTCGCTTCTTCACTGGTAGAGCATCCCAAGAATGGCGTACCGCTCATTTGGGCCGCTGGGCGGTGACGCCTAGTCTAGCACTGACTTTTTGGCTTTCAGACGCCTCCAGCTACGTAGCAGCCCAGAGCTGCAGTGTGGGAGGAGTGGTGTGTACAGTGTAGTTCTGGTGGTTGATGTAGAAAATCCTCCTCCTCCTCATCATCATCGTCATCATCATCCTCGTCCTCGTCCTCCTCCTCCTCCTCCTGCTCCCCCACGCGGGATCGCTCGCGCAGGAACAGGGGGGAGGACGAGGAGACGGCGCACAAGAGCGCGAGTGGAGACGGAGGAGGACGAGGACGAGGAGATGTATGTGATGATGTGGTGATGAAGAGGAAGCCTCATCCTCCTTCCTCCGCGATCGGCGTCCTCGGCGAGGTCCCCGAGCCTTTGCAGCTCCAGCATCCGCATCCCGAGCGTCGAGCCCAGGATGTCTGGGGTGGGACGGGCGCTGCTCGTCACCGTCGTCGTGCCTCCTCCTGCTGACTCTCATCCCTCCTCCTCCTCCGCCTCCTCCTAGCCACCACCATCATCACCACCACCATCACCACAACAACAATCCTCCTCTTCCTCCTCCTTCTCTTCTTCTTCTTCTTGTTATTATTCTTTTTCATGTTTAGCAGTGCAATCATCTTCTTCATCAGCATCATCATCCCCAGCATCACCACCACCATCACCATCATGATCATCATCAACCTCATCATCATCATCATCATCGTCATCATCATCGTCATCATGATAGTCATCAACGTCTTCATCATCAGCATCAGGCTGAGCATCATCATACTTTTTATATCCAACCACATCATCATGCTCATCATCAACATCGCCAGCATCATCACCATCACCAGCATCACCACACTCCTCATCATCAACACCATCAGCATCATCATCATAAGAATCATCCTCATCAGCATCTGCATCATCATCAGCACCACCATCACCCTCATGATCAACATCACCATCATCATCATCAGCATCATCATCACCGACATCAACATTCTCATCACCAGCGACAACATCATCACTACCATCACCGTGACCATCAACGTCACCATCATCAGCCTCATCATCCGCATCATCATCACAATCATCATAATCACCATCATGATCTTCATCATCATCATCATCAGCATAGCCATCATCATCGTCAACATGGTCGCCAGCATTAGCATCGGCATCATCATCAGCACCACCAGCATCATCCTCATCATCATCAGCATCCTCATCATCATCGTCACCCTCATCAAAAGCATCACCAGTATCAGCATCATTTTCATAAACATCATCATCGACACATTCTTCATCATCATCACCACCATCAGCATCAGCATGATCATCAACATTATCATCCTCATCATCATCCACCTCAGCATGCGTAGCATCGCCATCGAAAACATCGTCATCATCATCAATAACAACGTCATCATCATCATCATCCGTCCCCCAACGTCATCACCATCATCATCACCATCGCTATCATCATCACCATACTTATTATTATCGTCGCTGTCATCAGCATGCTCACAATTATCATCAGCATCACCTTCATCATCCTCATCATCTTCCGCATCATCATCACCATCATCAGCATCACCTGCTGAGTCAGTACTAGCACCATCACCAACATCATCAGCATCATCATCTTCATCCCCATCTTCATATCAACCTCCATCTTCATCATCATCATTATCATCATCACCACCAACATCATCATGCTGCTCCCTCGTAGTGCTCTTCAATATTCGCGGCCTCATGGTCCTCCTTCTGCTTCCCTATCCTGCTGTTTCTGCCCCTCCTTCTCGCCTTCCGGCTCCTCCTCTTCCTTCGCCACCTCTTCCTACACCGCCACCTCTGTCCTCCGTCCCCCCGTCCTTCTCCTTCCTCTCCTTCTGTCGCCCAGCGACGTGCAGATCGCAGAGGGTCGAGCAGGAGTTCGCCTACGACGAGGACACGGACGAGGGCCGCAAGGCGGTGGAGGAGGCCAAGAAGCAGGTGCTCGCCCAGCTGCATCTGAACGCCAGGACGTTCGCAGGTCAGCTGAAGGAGCACCTCATCGCGGCCAAGAAGCAGGCGGAAGCAGAGCGCACGCAGATCAGCCAGGCGTTCAAGAGAAGGAAAGCGGAGCAGGCGACGCAGGATAGCGACATGACGTGTACGACGGCTTCCCCCCAGAAGGTGGCACCTGCGGAGGACGACAAGGTGGAGCCCCAGAGTCAAGACGAGGCGAAGGCAGCGGAAGCATGCCTTCAGCAGCGGCGAGCAGCGGCCTCAGAGGCCCCCGCAGCCCGCTGAAGGTCAAAGAAGGGTGGGAGAAGTCAGTTTGGCGACGGCTCCCACCGCGACCGCCTCATACTCAGCGCCAGCATCACGACCTGGGGGCCGACGGCCTTGAGCTGGTTGCGGCGCGATGGCATACGACAGCCGTACGACGTCTACGCGCTGCAAGAGACCCACCCCTTCCGCCACAGGGGAAGTCAGAGAGTAGTCTCGAGCGCAACCACATCAGACGCTCGGGAAGTACCAGATGACATCGGCATGTGCGACTGGACGCCAGTCACCCTGCACATGCGTGGCACCTCGCTCCTCATCATCGCCCTTTACATCGACCCGAACCACACCTCCACGAGCGGAATCAACGCCAGGAAGTTGACCACGCTCGCAGCTTTTCTCCACGCCGTCAAGGCGCCCTGGATCATCTGCGGGGACTTCAATACCTCGCACAGCGAATTCGAGAAGACAGACTGGCCCGAAGCTCTTGGCGCGGCCAGCGCCGTGACCTTGCCCGAGGATCAGTGCGCGGTGCTTCCTAGGGGACAACCGACCAACAAACATCGCCTTCGCTTTGGTTAGCGACGGCGGACGGCACATGATACGAGGAATGCAACCAATCCACGACGTACCTTGGAAGCCGCATATTGAGCTGGCCGTTGCGGTGACAGCAGACCTCGACACCAACGATAACAGGGAGCTGAACATGCCGAAAGCCGTTCCTCGATCACAGCCCCAGCGACAGAAGGCAAACCCCAACAGGAAGCGCAGCAAAACGAAGCAACCCAAGCCCCTGCCCGACCCCGACGTTCACATCAAACCCATCGGCCTCGACCGCGCGGATGTGGAAAGATGGGGGCACTAGGAATACGAGGATGGAACTACTACCCTACCAGCGACACAGCGAACTCAGCTAGCCAGGTCGAGACCCCTCCATCTCATCTACACGGGAGGGTGGAGGAGAGTAGGGACCAGGATAGCTCTAACACGCCAGCGGTCTGCAGACACATCACGATGGACATCGCAGAGGCGGACCCCTTCGACGACGAAGACATTGACTGCCTGCAAGACCACATGCCCATCGACAACCAGACCCAACGCATGCACGATCAGGAGGAGAGCAATAGGGCGGCCACCAATGCTCAGAGGGCGGAGGCTGGCCGCAATGACCTCGGCTCCACCCCGCGCGACCTGAATTCAGAGATCGAAGCTTTGGACTGGGCGACCTCCCAAAGGGATGGGATGCAGCAAGCAATGGCAGAACAGATCTCAGCACTTGCCGAGGGAATACATACCACCAACATGGACGACACCTGGGACACGGCGCGCAACTAATCCACAGCACCCCTCGACACGCACCAACGTACATAAAGAACTGTGCTGCCTATCGCGCCGATCCGACACAAGCAGGGGATATGAGCCAACACTGTCGCCACTTCATTAGCGCACTGGGGACCTTCTTCTGCATCGCGCGCAAGATTCCGCGTGAAGACCAAGAGCACATCAGAGGACGCGGAGAAGGTTGTGAGTTTAAGACAGCACCACTACGTGAGCAAGGTGAACGGCGAATGTGATTCGCACCGCATCGTGACTGGTGGAGCAGAACAGAGAACGCACTGACGACATTGGCCAAACTCCAGCAAGGATGACATGGCCAACACCAGCAGCAATACCTACACGCAGCAGGAAGGCGACTGGCGCGAGAAGGGCTACCACAACTAGGGAAGCAAGCACGTGACACAGCTCGCTTCCACCACGGCCTATGGCGTCAACGACTTGACCAGCTGGACCAGGTCCCGCTGGAAGTACTGAGAGGCACGGCTGCGCAAGCGCAGGAGGAGAATAGAGAAACTCTACGACGAGACCTACACCATAGCAATCGCGAGTACAGCGCATGGCCCGCCACGACCACTGAGACGACGGGCACGCTACGCAAGATCACCGCGCCACCGCCACGACGAGAGCAGGAATTGGCCACTGGACGACTTCAGTAGTATCTGGTCCAGCCCTGAAGTTCCACGCCACGAGCGCGCGCATACACTTGCCAAGTTAATGGCACGGGCAGAGGACGATCTGCCACCGCGACCCTGGACAGTGGAGGACCTCGACAGATGCCTGAAGGGTGAACCCAACGAAGGCAACGGAGCGGACGCGCTGCGGTGCAGTGATCTACGATGGCTACCACGGTCAGGGCGCCGAACAGTGATCGACCTTTTCAACGTGTGCGAGCAGCACCTCATGTGACCATGGTAACGACTGCTGTCAATTGTAATGATCACTCCCAAGCCCTCCAAGTGAGACAGGGCCCCAGCCCTGCTACCACAACTATTTCGCTGCTGGGAGCTACTGCACCGTGGTCAAGTGCGCCCCTGGGCAAAGACACACGACAGGGAATGGGGCGCGGCCATCGCGGGCAATAGCTGCCTGAGGGAAGCGCTGAGACACCTCATCATGGACGGATGCGCCGACGCGTTCAACATCACCGAATCCATCTTGCTAACCGGTATTGAGAAGTTCTACGGCGCCTCAGGATAAACAAACCAGTACCAGCAGCACTGCACATGCAGCCTAGCGCGGCAGCTATACCTGATGATGCTCCAACATGCAGCCACCAGGGTACTGTGCAGACAAGGCTCGTACTCACTCACCATGCATGCCGACCGCTCCTTTCTCGCTGGGTCACGCCATGCCAGCAACATCGCACGTACAGCGGTTTACGCAGCAATGACAAGACTCTCGAGCACCAGCCAACTGCCTCGACCCATACCTCGCGCATGGTTCGACGACTTCATCGTACGCATCGTCGGAAGCAGGGATCAAATCACGACGGCAGCAGTCAATGCCACCCAGCAACTCTTCCTGGCCTTGGAAGAGAAGGGACCCAAGTTGGCGGACAAGGCCACCCTCGTGACGACCCACTACAGCGACACCAAGTAGATCCACAGACAACTACAGCTCCGAGGCATCAACTTCGAAGCATCCACAGAGGAAAGAGACCTCGGGGCAGACAGTTCAGCACGTGGCACCACGAGACGAACAACACACGCCACCAGGCCCAAAGCAGCATGACGCAGACTCGGAGCAGTGGTCAGAAAGCTAAAGAGACTCAGAACGAGGGCGAAGGCCAACCTGACACAGCAAGGCGCCATGGCCTCGCTCAAGTATGGGCCAGCATTCCACGGCGTGGCACGTACCCCACTACTGCACGCGAGACGCAAATGCGCCCAAGCACTGCGACGCCCATGGCCTGGAAGATGCCTGACCACCCACTTGGACTTGAAAGGCGTCGAACCAGCCTACGGCATCGCCAACGCGCAGTTCACCAACAGGTTCAATTACTGGTGACACAGCCCAGATCTACGAGCCCAGGTACGGCGAGCATAGCCTAAGATTTGTTTCAGAATGCTCAAAGTACCAGCCAGCAGAAGATGGACCCAGAGAAGAGGACCGATAGCAGTGATTATACTCGCGCGTTGGGAGCTAGGCTGGGACACCAGAGGGCCAGAGCGCCGGATCGACCGCGACAACAACGACTGGAAACCCCCACAGGACGGCGAGCATAGAGACCACGCAGACATCCTGGACCCCATCACGACAGACGTCCGACTCAAGCCGTGGCAATCAGCCGCAGAACACTACAACAGAGAAGGCCTCGAGCACCACGGAGCGGACACGACAGACCTGAGAAGACACCTGTAATGGCCCCGCAAGGAAGGCAACCATCGTGAATATGGAGGGCTACTTACGGCGGATTATGCAAGCACATGGACAAGAACGCGGAAAAAGGCTGCATTCGGACACGGAAGCGATGACTGCGAATGTGGATCCACGGGCAGCGACTACCACCGAATATGGGAGCAATGCCAATGCAGGGGCGACGACGCAGCGTACGAGAAGACAGAACGGGAACGCACCCAAGCAGCGGAAGGCCACATCGACGCGCCTGTGCTCTGGCTTCGGGGTATCACACCACGAGCACGGTCAGTGCCGCCAGAATGTACTACCCCCGAGATGGCCAACAACATAGGGGAGATGATCCACGCCGACCGCAGCCACCCCCCCGACGACAACCCAATTGTAGTACACGGAGACGGCTCAGCTGGCAAGCGCAGCGCGGACTGGAGATACCGACGATGTGATTGGGCCTGGGCACGATTTACCACAATTGATGACGACGATAACTTCCAGATCGCTGCAGCACGCTACGGCCCACTACCACACAGACGGCAGACCAGCAGCAGAGCGGAGCTCTGGGCACTACTGGACTGCCTACGACACACAGCGAGGCCACTACGCTACTGGACCGGCAGCGAACTGGTATACAAAGGATGATGGCGCAACAGACGATTCCTACGTGCAGGCGAGGTGGGCACCAACGGCGACCTGTGGGAGCTCATCGGCAAGGAGCTCAACCTGCGGAGCCACAGAGGAGACGAAGAAGGTGAAGCCCACCACATCAACAGCCACCTCACGTGGGGGGAAGCCCAAGCGCGTGTATTCCCACTACATGCATGGCACGGCAACGGACAAGTGGACAAGCTAGCGGAGACAGCAGCACGCGAGCACGACATCGACGACGCACATATGACATGCTACGACTGGGTCAACGCCACAGCAGCACTCGTCCGACGCAGAATTGCAACAGCAAATGTAGACGCCATCGGCAGACGCCCATCCGAAGAGAAAGAAGTACGAGAAGCCAGACTTGAAATGAAGCGGCAGCAGAAAGCCCAACAACGACGACAACGGGACTACTTCGCGGACGGACCTGACCAATCTGAAGGGGGAAGGCGACCACCGACCGCACACAACCTGACGAGGACAAGACGTGGCAAAGGGTGACAATGCAAGTGCTGCCAACAAAAAGTGGGCAAAGACACCAACTTCGAAGTCGTGAAGGACTGGCTCAACGAAGGATGCAAAGGACCGCCACCAAGTCACGTCACAGAAGTCACGCAACACAGCACAGCAGCACACCCAAGCCACCTGCTCGTACTTCTCAGGGCGGAAGCCAGATAATTCGGCAGGCTATGCGGAGCCACGACGACGGAATACATCTCGGACAAAATGAGAAAAGAGTGCAAGAGACGACCAGGATACAGCAGCATCAAGTGCAAGTTACGCCACTGGCTCAACGAGGCGGAGAAGGAAGAAGGATAATGAGGACACGGCAGCGGCTCGGAAAACAACCAGCAGGGACGCACCACACCCCCTCAGTAGAGGGCTGTTGTGAGTACCGACCTACTTGGCGACAAGTCACCAACGTTTTTGCCAAGACACAAGCCAGACACCCAACTGCAGCCAGCACGACGAGGACAACAGCGGCTTGGGAAATGACCAACAAGCACGCACCACACCGCCTCACACGAGGTTGGATGTGAGTACCGACCTGATTGGAACGTCGCCCGCGTTTTGCCAGGATGCCTCAGCAAAAGGCCTCGACAAGCGAGGCTCAATGTCGCCATAATTTTGCAGACATGGCAGCGACAACGATATCCACCTCATGAGTCAAACCGTTGCAAGCACCGGGGCTGATGGGGGAGGACGGCCACTCCCTGCGTCGGCCAGGGGGGGCGGTTGGTGGAGGTCAGCGTGCAGAACCGCGCCCGCCGAAGCTGACTGCTCCCATCGAGAACAAAACGCAGGACCAGCACCACGACAGCAACCAGCAGCAGGACGACAACCTGTCTGGTACTGCCGCCCTCCTTGGAAAGCATGTCGCTTCGGATGCTCGCGGCTGCTGCCGGTGGGGTACGTCGCGGGGTGCCGATGATCTCGGAGGCGGAACGTTGACACGCCAGAGTGCGAGCCCAATACCACCGCTCCCCGCGCCTCCGCCAGATGTGCGGGGAGAGGGGGCGGTCCCCAGGGACGCGGCCCCCGCTGCTGCGAGAAGGAGACTGACGAAGGAGCAGAAGCCGCAGCAGCACCAGCAGCACGACAATACTGCCACCTTCCTTGGAAGGCATGTCGCAGCAGATGCCCGTGACGCGAGTCGCGGGGGTCAGCTGCGGGGAACTGAGGGGAGGTGCAACGTGGACACCACCGACGAGGTCTTCAGCACGGCTCCTTGCGACTCCGCCAGATGCGCAGAGAGAGAGAGAGAGAGGGCGGTCCCCAGGGACGCGGCCCTCTGAGCGGCGGCGGCCTGCGCCCGCTCACCCCAACACGGCGCCTTGCGCCTCCTTGCGCCTCCGCCAGACGCGCAGGGAGTGGGGGCGGTCCTCTGGGACGAAGCCCTCGGAGCGGAGGCGGCCCGCGCCCGCCGTGGAGCCGCTTCCGCCGACGGCCACCGCGGCTGGGGCGGAAGCTCGGAAACTCCTTCTCATCATCATCATCATCATCATCATCATCATCATCATCATCATCATCATCACCACCACCACCACCACCATCATCATCATCATCATCATCATCATCATCATCATCATCATCGTCATCAGCATCAGCATCAGCATCAGCAGCAGCATCAGCAGCATCATCATCATCATCATCATCATCAGCATCAGCATCAGCATCATCATCATCATCATCATCATCATCATCACCATCATCATCACCAGCATCATCAGCATCCTCATCATCACCATCACCATCAGCATCATCATCATCACCATCACCATCGTCCTCGTCCTCGTCCTGCTCCTGTTTCTGTTCATCGTCCTCTTCCTCTTCCTCTTCCTCTTCCTCTCCCTCTTCCTCTTCCTCTTCTTCCTCCTCCTCCTACTACTCCTCTCCTTCTTTCTCATCTTCCCCCTTGCCGTTGTCATCGCCCTCCTCCTCCTCCTCCTCTTCCTCCTCCTCCTCCTCTTCCGCCTCCTCAGCCTCGTCGTTGTCCTCGTCCTCCTGTGGGCACTGAGGTATGGAAAGACGTGGGACAGGGGGAAGCTTGGGGGGCGAACATGAAGCCGAGGGTGTCGATGACGAGAGCGACGATTCCTAAACTCAGTCAGGACCGCTCGTTCCTGCTCCCAAAGCTCGTGAAGTGCATGCTGTACCGTCTGCCAGCCGACTCCTCCGCTTCGAACAGGGCGGCGCCGAACGCGGCAGCCTGCATGGTGAGGCGCTGGGCGTCTCCGACCGTCATGTCCAGCTTCGTCATGTTGCTGGGGTTGAACAGGTCCTTGAAGTCTCCGAACATGCACGTCGCATGGTGCTCGACTGCCAACGCCGCCTCGTGGGTCGAGACCCGCGCCATCTCCACCACGTCCCGAGGGTCAACACCTGCCAAATATTCGTCCAACGATCTTCCGGCCGCTGCGCCCCGCAACTGCCGCTCGAGCGCGAGCCGCTGCCGGCTCCGGCGCACGAAGTAGCCGAAGCGGACGGTCGAGATGAAGTTCTGCCTGGCGACGAGGACGCTGTCCTCCAGCTCACTGCTCATTTCGGGCGCGTGCTGTTCCGCTCTCGCCTCCATCTCCTGCATAGTCTCCTGCACCGCATCCGGTGCCACCTCCCCTGGCTCCACTTGCCCGAGGAGGTCTTCCGGACCTCCAGTGCCAAGGCTCTGCAGATACAACTCGGCCTGCCAAAAGGCCTGGTGGACCATGCTCATACCCGCATCCTCCCCGAGGCAATCAAGGATGTACCGCGCATCCTTAGAGGAACAAGCAACGGCATAAACATAAACTTTGGGGAGCTCTGAACCGATTTCTCGGATCTGCGTCTGGATCCCCTTGGCGGCGCCACTGGCGCCGGCCCTGGCGCGCTTCGGGTACCAGGGACGGGGGCCCAATGCAGATCCGATAACTCCTTGCGGACATCCGACAGATTATGCTCATGCCGTTTTTCCTCTTTGAGTGCGCCGCGCGTCCTCGCCCAGCAGCCTGGCCAGCGCCACGCTGCTGCCGCCGTCGCCGAAGTCCCCGAAGGCCAGCACCCCTCCTGGCGGAGCAGGCGCCGGCTGGTCGAAGCGCGCCATCGGCTCCGCGCCCGCCGAGCGCATCCGGCCGAGCGCGCCGTCCACCAGCAGCGCCGCGGCGCGGTCCTGCAGCGAGCCGCGCGCGGAGTCGTCCGACGGTGGAAGGGGACGGAAAACTGTGCCCGTGGCCAGGACTTGAGCGCGGAGGCGTCGGTGCCGACCTTGGCCACCGACCACATTGGTCACCGCCGCTTCGCGGATCATCCTCACGAATCGGCGGCGGCCGGTGGTAGGGTTGCGCACAGACAGCCCCCTGGGAAGTTCTGGCTGGCCTGAGTAGGCCTCCGGAGCAGTCCAAGCTGCCCTCAACAGACTCCCCGAGTAATCCAGGGCGGTCTCAACACCTCAACCCTGGGACGTGGAGCGCCTCAGGGGCGCCACCAGAGGCGGCGCCAGGGTGTTGAGACCGCCCTGGACTACTCGGGGGGCCTGTTGACGCCAGCGGGGACTACTCTGGGGCTGTCTGCGCGCTACCCGAAGCCTCACTGGCGGCCGGCATGGGCCATGGCCAAGGTCGGCGCCGGCCATGGCCCCACGACAGCTTGGTCATGGCCAGCGTGTTCCTCCCCTCGGCGCTGGGTCTGGTGCCTCCCCCTTGGCGTCGGCCTCTGCCTGCAGCATGGCCCAAGCGGTGTCGGCGAGGGCCGCGCCGTCCGGCGAAGGAGCCTCAGCCGCCTCGCCTGTGGGGGAAGCAAGAGGTATCGATACCGCTACTCCCTGGCGACAGCGGCAGGTCCGATGTTCGGATGTTCCCTGATCTCCCTTCTCGCTCCTCCACCTTCCGCGCACCACCGCCCTCCTCTCCCTTGCCGCCCTTTTCCACCCCTCCCTCCAGAGCAGGCTTTGGGGAACAACAAGCTGCTGACACCGCTAGTCCCCGGGCATCTGCCGAGGTGCGTGCGCTTTGCCCAGGATCTCGGGGCGGATGCAGCCGTGGCGACGAGTGTCTCCCAGGAGGCCCAAAAAGGCGAAAGCGAGGCAAGGGTACTATATGACCGCCCTACCGCCCTTCGGGTGATGAGGGGGTTCGGGGGGGGGAACCAACGTCCCACTCAATCGATGTTACTATCGAGCTCACTATCGATCTCACTATCGCCCGCACGCGCGGCACGAGCATGACACCGAAACCGACTTCCTGCTGGGGGGCTTTCCGTTCCACTGCGATCGCACCCCTTACCTCGGATAGCGGTAGCGGTACCCTTTCCGACTCTGAGCCTCCATCGCGGGCCGCCGCGCCCAGCCGCACCCGCGCGGGCCGCGAAGGCGCTGCGGCGCCGCGGCGCGGCGGTGCTGCGGGCAGCAGGCGCAGCAGCACCAGGGGGGCGATCGCGAGGAGTGCGGGGCCCAGGGCCATGTGGGGCTCTGCGGGCCGCGGCGGCGGTGCGGCCCCGCCGGCGGCGGTCCGCGGCCCGGGCCTGGGCTCGGGCCAACACCTCAGAGCAGGAACGGGTACCGATACCGCTGCACCCTTGCCACGTTTTCGCCTTTTTGGGGGGGTCTCTTGCCACGGCTGGATTCGCCCCGAAATCCTGGGCAGAGCACGTGATCCTCGGGAGAGGTCCGGGGAGTAGCGGCATCGGTAGCTTGTCGTCCCCCGAAGCCTGCTCTGGAGGGAGGGGTGAAGAAGGCGGGCGGCAAGGGAGAGGAGGGCGGTGTTGAGGTCGAGGAGCGAAAAGATCAGGGAGCATCGGAACATCGGACCTGCAGCTGTCGCCAGCGGGGGCGTCGCAGTTTGGCGCCGTAGCGCCGAGCAGGAACGAGCAGGAGATGGAGGAGGAGGAGGAGGAGGAGGAGGAGGAGGAGCAGGAGGAGGATACATATAAGGACACTTGAGAAAGTTCAGCAGCAGCGGCAAGGAAAGGATCGCAGGGAGGGAGGGAGTAGCAGGCGAGGGGAGGCAACAGGAGGACGAAAGGAGGAAGGAATACGATAATGGCCATGACGATGCAAACTTTTGGGAAGACCAATTGGCATGTGACACATACTCTGCACCAACTCGTGCTCCAGCTCCGACCCTAACAACTAGTCATTAGTTGCGGATTGGCGGAATCGCTCGGACAATCGAACCGCTCGAATCTAGCCCCCTCTGTGAAAGAGGAAGCGGCCCATGGAGGCGTCTAACCGAACTGTTCGATGTGAGCAGACATCTGCCCGCATCACCGTGCCTGTACAAATCATTGGCGGCCCCGTAGACGTAGTCAGTATGGGGTCCAGTAGCGTCGGCGTATTTGCAATGCAACAAGTTGCGGGCTCGGTCTCCAATACGATGGCCACCCAAACACGCGACAGTAGGCTAGACCCGCGATGCGGTTCTTACCTGCCCCTGGCTCGTAGCAAGGTGGTGGAGGACTGAGGAAGATGGCGCGCACGGGGGAAAAGGGGAGGAACCAAAGCGGAGGCCCCCGTCTAAATAAAAAAATCGGCCTGCCGACAGGTCCCCCCACGGAAACTCCGTATCCCCAGATGGCCCCAAGGATCCACAGAAGCCGTGGGGCACAGCAGCGAGCTCGAACTCCGACGAACCATGTGCCCATATATGTTGTACAGCACGATTTCTGATCCGAAATGTCTACTGTATTCCTGCCCGCCTGCTCGACCTGGAGTATGTGGCAGGAGGAGACGTACCATCCTTTCCCCCCTCGAGCGCACGCAGCTGGGCACCCCCAACCAGTCACACTCTGGAGGACATCGACCGCCAATCCAGGAGGAGGAGGAGGAGGGGGAGGAGGGGGAGGAGGATGTGGAGGGACAAGGAGGCGATGTAATAGGAAACATAAACAAATAATGCGGGGTGTGCGGTAAGAACGGTGAGGAATCGAAGTTGGGGTGTGGGGTGGGTGAGGGCGGGGAGGAAACGAAGAGAACAAAAGGGACGCGGATGAAAACGAATAGGGAATAGACGATGATAGATGAGGGTGCGTGGCCCGGCAAAAAACGGGAGACCTGTGAGGAACAACAACAGGGTGAGACATGGGAGGGAATAGTATGGCGCGGGAAGGAAGGTGAGAAGGATGAGGCAGAGGAGGGAAAGAAAACGGAGGATGCAGAGATACGAAGGGAAGTACGAGGTGTATACGAGGGGGCGAAGGGAAGGGCGGAACGAAGAGGGGACTTCTGAATGATGGGAATGCGGAGGGGAAGGAGGAGGGAGATGAGGAGGGGGGTGGGGTGGATGCGCAGAACGGGATGGAGGGAATATGGACAAACAAAATGAGGTGGGAGGAATGAAAATGAGGAGGCGGATGAAAGGGAGGACGCCGGATCGCAACGTTTGGGCCGATCTCATCTATTTGGTACCGATCGTAAACAGTCATGCTCGGCCCTTTCCAGTTACGACAAACAGGCGTCCACCAATACATGGCATAATGGTGGAAGGGGCTGTCAACACCACTTGGGGATAGAGTGAAATGCCTTAAGCGGCCGACTAAGATTCCGAACAACAGGTTGCGACCCCGATGGGAACAACGTGATCGGCACCCAGATCTTTCGCGCTGGCAAATCAACTAATCACGCTCGGTCGCTTTCACATGCCAACCCGGAGGAAAGAACCGAGTTTGAGCCACAGGGCCGTCCCAGTACTGGCTCGGGAAATTGCAGGCGAACGCGTACTGGTCATACCGCCCTGATACTGAAGCAGATCACACCGCGCTGAGATTAGGTGAACAGAAGAACCCAACTCATCATGCCCGTAACGTATGCACCGACGCGACGACCATGACAACATCGAATTTCTCGGAAGCCGTCCGACAGCCCCTCGGAAAGCTTCCAGCAGCATGTCAAGACCTTCCAAGAAGCCTGTCAGGGACTCTTCGGAGCCCCCATCGGACCGTCCACGAGCTTCTCGGACGCGTCTGCGTAGGTCTGTCTCGGACACCTCTCAGAACTAAATCGGACACCTGACCAAACAAACATTCTCAGCAGCTTCGTAGCAGCGGAAACGATTGGAAGCATCTCGAATGCCTCTCGGAGGCCTCCCAGGAGCCCTTCTGATTCCCCTGAGCAGTTCCTCGTGGGCCTCTCAGAAGCCTCGCAGTAGGCCCCATAGAGGCAGCTCGCTCAAAGGCTGTTCAAGACCCTCTGAGAGCGCTCCCAAAGGCCTGTCTGTAGAAGCTTCGTAGGAGTCTCGCAGGCGCCTTCGGGAAGGCTTTCGGGATACTCTCAGAAACCTACATCTTTTAGAGGCCCCTGACAGGCCTGCCAAGAACCTCGCATGAGCCTCTCACGAACCTCGCGGAAGCGTCTCAAAAACTTAGGAAGTTTCACAACAACTTGCCTGGGATTCTCAAAGACTCGCAGGGGCCCCCGGAGGCTCCTCAGTTGCCTAACAAAAGCCCTTAACACTTTCTACTACGCCTCTTAGCGCGGAAACCCCTCCGCAGCCCCTCGAACACCCGAAAACTCTCGGGAGCCTCGGACGGGTCTGTCGGGCCTATCAGAAGCATACCATGGGCCCCCCAGAAATCCCCGATAAGAGTCTCAATCACCAATTGCCCATACCTCCCACAGGTGGCCCGATGGTTTCGCAGATCTTCAGGAACTTGCAAAAGGCTCACAACGCCCTCGCTGTAGCCCTGTTTCCAGAAGACAAGAGAAATGTCCAGGAAGCTTCTCAAGACCCCCCGGATCCCCACACCACCTCAGAAAATCCCCATAATCCTCTCATGCGCCTCCGAAGATCTTCTCATAAGCCTCCCAAAGGCCTCTCATCAACCTCCCAGAGGCCTCTCCGAAGCCTCCACAGTTCTCTCGCAAACGCTTTCATGCATTAAAAACCTCCTAGGCCGCTCTTAGAAGTCTCACAGAATCGCGCCATACATATCACTGCGTCCTTTAAGAGGCTTCCCAGGGTGTGGCCCAGAGGTCAGCAGAAGTTGTTCAGGAGCTTCTGGTAAACCTCGCGGACGCCTCTTCAAACACCTCTCTGAGGCTGTACTAAGTTTTTACATGCCTCACGCAATACTTCCAGGCGCATCGTACCTTTTTCAGAAGCACCCCTCATGATCCTTGCATAATCCTCCGTGCAACCTTTCTGAAGCCTTCCTGCAAGCCGCTCAGAGACCTCCCGGAAGTGTGTCTGAAGCCTTCCTGGAGCCTCCCAGCCCCCCCCAAGTCCTCGCGGCAGCTTTTCCCGCAAGCGTCTCAGAAGCGTCCGAGAATACCCCCAGAGGTTGGCTCGGAGGGCTCAAGCGGCCGCTCGGAGGCTCTGAAGAGGCTGCTTGGTGGCTCCCCACAAGCGGCCCACAACATCTAAAAAGGCCGCTTCGACGATCTGAAGGATCATGGAACAACAGGAACTCAATCGTGTTGTAACCCGACACTTTCAGGTGGTTGCAACTGGCGCCAGAGGCTGGAGTGGTTGTAGTATGGTTTACTCTCGCAGTGGGGGGGGGGATAACGATAGGGACAGCGCCCTGGGGGCGCCGCGTGTCTCCGAAACCGTCGCTGCACCTGAGAGGCAAGGGCGGACCGCGAGACAATCACGGCGGCTGGGCATGGGCTGTACTAGCGCAACATTGTGCGCGCTTCCAGCGCCCGGGTGGGCCTGTGACGGAACGGGATGCAATTGGGGACCCTTCGGGGACGGAGGGAACAGAGGGGAAGGATCAGGATGAGGAGGACGACGGGGACGAAGAGGGGAGGAGCAGGAGGAGGAGGAGCCAGAGAAGGATGAGGAGCGAACGTCCCATTGCGGAGACGTCCGTCGTGGCGTAGCGCGGCCGCGCGCGCGGAGCGGGCGCGGAGGCGCAGGGGCCTACGTTGCACTTGTCGGAGATGAGGCCGAGGGAGTTGGAGAGGTCGCCGTTGTCGGAATCGCTGGAGGCGAAGAGCTCGAGGTCGTCGTCGGAAGTGGAGCCATCGTCGCAGCCATCGAAGGTGTAGCGCGTTGAGGTCCTACATCGAGTCGCAATCGAACCAGTCCTTCATGATGCAATCGCTGTTCATGTCCAGCGAGCCGTCCAGCATGGAGAAGCACAGGCCGTCGAACAGCAGGCCGTCGTAGATGTTCGGGAGGTTGGTCGGCATCTGGTCGACAGGGTCGTTTACAGGCTTGCGGCTGGCAGAGTTCGCGCGCATGGCGGCCATGGAGTCATACTTGGAGTTCACGCAACGCGCCGCCGCGATGATGGCGTGCAGGAACTGCCGGTCGGGGTGGAGCACCTTCTGGTTGACGCACGGCCATTGCATGTTGTTCAACGCTGAGTCGGTGGAGGCGGGCGCGCGGAACTGCGCGGCACCGGCGTCCACGGAAACGGCGGACACGAGGTGCAGCAGGTCGTCGTGGCGGTGCTGGCTGTTGATCGGCATCTGGTCGACGTAGTCGCTGGTGGAGACCACGCGCTGGGCGTCGAAGGCGTCAGCCATCATGTCCACGGGAATGGCACTAGCAAGCGCCAGCTGGTCCGCCATGTGGGAGGACTGGAGCCCGGCTGCGGCGACGACCTCGGCGATGCCCTGCTTGACTGCGTCGTTCTGGTCCTGGACCTTCTGGAGTAGACCTTCGAAGGCGCGTTGGTCTTCCCGTCGGTGCAGTTCGTATTCAGCGATCTTGGAAGCCATCTTCTCGAGCTCTGAGCGCAGCTTGGCGATGTGGGCGGATCCGTGGGGAACGCCATCTGCAAGAAGATGACGGCCGCCGTAGTTGCCTGAAAGCGCAGGCGTCGGTGGCTCCGAACAGCCAGGTTGTATAGAGCTACCTCGGCCCGGAATGCTGGTCTCGAATGTCGTGGCGCCTTTGAGTTTGTACTGCATGGTGGATGTCCAGGCCTTGTGCGTGCTAGCGTTGCGGTTCTTGGCGATGTCGCGCATGAACTGGCACTCCTGCGCCGAGAAGCGGCCCGACTCGGAGGCGTCCGCGACAATGTCCGTGAGAGAGTCCCGATGCGGGAAATGATGAAGAACTTCGAGGTCATGGTGTAGGCGGAGCCCCCGAGCAGCATGTTGTGCACGGCGTGCGAGGGCGGTGTGGTCTTGTCCCTTGGAGTGGCCGAGACGGACCGCGTCGTGAAGGTCGACAGCAGCATGGACAGGCGTAGATCGAGGAGTTGCCCACGGAGAGCCCATGTTTGCGCCGACACGGAGGGCGGCGAGGAGGGGATCACCCATCGGGGTGAGGATGGTTATGGAAAATCTCGCAGCAGCTGGCTACTTGAGCCAAAATGGCTACGGAGGAGAAGGATGAGGAGGAGGAGCAGGAGGAGGAGGAGGAGGTGGCGGACAGTGGGGGGTGAGGATGAAGAGGGATAGGAGAAAGGGGAGGAGGAGGAGGAGGAGGAGGAAGACGAGGAGGACTAAGCGTTACATGAGATGTTCCTGTGTCTGTGGGTTCCGACTGGGTGGTGCTGGGCGCCTTTTTTTCTGAAGAGGCCGAGACCCGATTGGCACCTACGCTAGCAAGCGAGCCCACAAACCGAATATCCGGACCCTTCATCGAAGGCGAGATACACACAGTGCGAGAATGAGCAGCGACCATATCTGAGAGAGACGTAAAAACCAATACCTGGGACCCGCAACCGACCATGCCCCCCAGACGTTTAAAGCTGGGCCCGCAAACCGAGCCTCCTGAATGTGTTCCCCAGGGGAAGTTCGGCGGCGGCTCGCATACCTGTTGAAATTTTCCCGAGACGTGTTGCGGTAGGCGGGGGACTGGGGCCAATGCGAGCAATCCTGTGGATATGGACAGCTGCGACTACTCTCCTGATGCCCGCGGGCGAGGAGGATGAGGAGGAGGAGGAGAAGGAAAAGGTTGTCATCCTGCCGAATATAACTTACGCGCAACACACAATGAAACCTATAGGAAGGAGGAATGGGTAAGGGCAAGGCGATGAACGCGCTATAGGTATGGGTGCGAATTGTCAGACCCCGAGGGGGGGTCCCGTTCGAGCGGGGACCCCATCCGACCCTTGGAAGTGAAAAATTATGACTATGGGGCTCCTAAGCCAGTGCGCAGCTATGTAACCCGGACATTGGGCATCCCACCCAAAGAAAGCGATGAGAAGAGGAAGTCTCGATCCACGGTTGGAGTTTCCCGGGCGCGCCAATGTCCTGGTTTACCATAAGGTCTCCGTTTATGGGGGGGCCCTGAACCTCGCCGCCCCGATACGCAACACGCAACCCGTAGCGTGTTGACACAAACCCCAACACGTAGATTGAAAACGTACGTTTGGTGCGATACGTTCGCCAACACGTGGGCCAACACTTGGAGCCAACACGCAGCGTGTTCACAGGGAAGCTTTGAACACGGCACGTGCTGCATTTCAAAACGTGCGCATCAGGGCAACGAAGGCCCTGAACGATCACCAGGCTGGGGAGCCTGGTCGGTCTCACGGACTGAGAACAGCTGGCCATCTTCAGGACCGGGCTCTCGCCCAGGCGCCGCGGGCACTGGCCTTGCACGCTCCCAGCAGCTGCGCGGTGGGAGGGCTGCCCGGCGGCTCGCCGCGGTGCGACGCCCATCCGCCTCGAAACTCCCCGCTGCTCGCGCCGTGCAAGGATCTGGCTCTCGACCGAGGCCCCCCCCTGGGACTGCCCCACCGCAGGGCTGGATCCAAACGTTGTTTATCGTTTCGTTTTCGTTTGGTGTTTCGTTTTGCTCTGCCTGCTTTCCCGTACCTCCATCCCAAAACGAAAAACAAAACACAGCAGAAATCCAGCAACACAGCGTTAAGGTCCAGCCCTGCCACACCGTGAAGCACGGACCCCACAACCGCCCCTTGGACAGGGGGGCGGCTGCCTTTTCGGCGTCGTGGGCTCGCTCGGGCGCCGCGCGCGTGTTGATTGGAGCGTCTGCTACCTGCACGGGTGGAGGGCTGCCCCCTCTCAACCTCATCGGGTTGTGTGGCACAGGTGTGGCCAGATGCTGGTTCGACAGTTGATGTCGTTGCGTATTCACACACCCATGGGGGCGTCGCGCCGCAAGACCCCTGGACCCTCACCTTCCCAGCGAGGCGGTCGCCGCAGTGGTGGAAATTTCTTGAACGTTCTGCGGATGTGCGCGTGTGTGTGTGTATATGTATGTATGTATGTATGTGTGTGTGTGTGCGTGCGTGCGTGCGTGCGTGCGTGTGTGTGTGTGTGTGTGTGTGTGTGTGTGTGTGTGTGCGTGCGTGCGTGCGTGCGTGCGTGCGTGCGTGCGTGCGTGCGTGCGTGCGTGCGTGCGTGCGTGCGTGGGTGTGTGTGGGGGTGGTAGGGGCGTCAAGGTGCACCACATCATCAGTGGTGGGTGCTGCGGGTTAAGCTGTCTCTTGTCATCCTCTTCCTGGCCCTCTGCCTGCTGCTGCTTTTTCCCATCCCCCCAAAACGTGCTGGCAAGCCTGGGGCAATGGAGCCCAGCAGGTCCAGGAACACGCGTCCGTTCAACTCGCTGGCGCTGCTTACCTGCAACGGATTCCCCTGGCGCCCTTGACTTGAAGGCGTCTGGCCGCGCAGCTTCAGGTTCAGCCACCTCGGGGGGGTAGGGCGGGGGTTCGGAGGGTGAACCAACGCAAGAAAGTTGCCTGCACTGACATACTTGTCGGTGAACGTGGGTTTCAACCCCGACTGCTTTCTTTCACCGTGCCACACTGGTCATCGCTGATTGTTTTCGCGGCTTCCACTCGCAAGACCCAATACTGACCCTTATCACATGTGCAACCATGACCCCTTTCACATGTGCAGCCAATACTCGCCGTGCGGCGCTGTCTCCTCGTTTGCCCTCGTGATCCTATCGTCGGCACCAGCCGTTGATACCATCGTCGGCATCATGTTTCCCTGTTCCTTCAGCATCCTCCTCATCATCCTCGTCCTCCTCCCCCTTCTCCTCTTCCTCCTCCCCCTCCGCGTCGTCCTCCTCCCCCCCCCTCTTGGGCAAGCCTTTGCGCGCAACTGATCCAGCCACGAGCAATTCGTATAAGAAAGGAAACATAAAATTACAACACAACCGTGGACTTATCACGAACGTGCAGCAAACAGTTCCTGGAGACATGTCTGTACTCACCACGGTCAAGGCGGCCCCAAATCTTGGTGGCCCTGGCGCTACGCTTGGGCTTACAAGGGGCGCCAAGCGTGCCAACCCTGTCTGAACAAATCGCCTGACACGCACTGCAACGCACAAGCATGACGTCATGCGTGATATCAAACCGCACAAGCGAATGCGGCTGCAAACCACTCTCAACAAAGCTGCGCGACAAAGAGGGAGCACGTTCAAGCAGGGAGGGTGGCCTGTCTCGAACAAGTTGCAGCGATGGCTGGAGAGGGCGGCCCCTCTGAACACTGGACGGGTGGAACGTATCGTCGCCCTCGCCAGCTTTGGCAATCCACCCGATCCACGCTTTGAGAACGCGGAGGCGGCGACGCAAAAAGTCGCGTTGGGCCCCAGGCAACCTTCCCGCCTGAGCGGACCCGCGCGCAAACGTATCGGCTAAGACATTACCCGCGTTACGACTCGGGGTAGTGCGCTCCAGCTGAAAATCCCTGGGGCGAAGATGCGCCTTTATATTCACGACAATACGCGCCAAATCTTCGTCGCCCCTGTCCCGAAGGATCCGCCAGACTTCGCGCCAAAGCGGAGCGTTGGAGGCCAGGCAGTGACAGCAATGTTGCTGCCATCTGATGGCCACTCCTCTCCAAACGTAATCACTACCAGTATAAAGGACAGACCCAGGCATGGAATGCGTGAGCGCGAAGGCAGCATCGGCCTCATTGAAGGGCGGAAGCACTGTGAGCAAAGGGCCGCAGATGATGGCTCTGGGGGTTCGAGACGAACGACGATCCAACGACCGCGGCGACAGAACCACCGCCGCCCACCCCGCAGCAGCAAACTCAGGCATGTCTCCTTCGAACAAGGACCCATCGATGAAAATGTCTCCAGTAAGATCCTCAGGCGCCCCAGGATGCCAAAATTCACGAGGCGCCACCGACGCGCCGGGCTTCTAGAGCCCAGGCATGGGCGCATGGCGTCGCTCAGAAAGAAGTAAGGCAATCGGCGAGCTAACAGCGGCCGTGACAAGACTGGAAAGAAAGGAGGGTGGCTCGCTTCCAGTGTAAACAACCTCGCAGTGTGCACAATTAGTATGCCTGTGCATCAGCGCGCCACTGACTTGGGTTTCTCGCTGCTGCAAGCACACTCTACAAAAGGGTTCAACATCGCACCCAGAGGCCCACTGCCGATGCATCGGCCATTGGCCCCCGATGAAACGCGAGCGAACATGCGCGCGTTGCTGGGCGGGCGACGCAGGCAGACTCAGATGATCAGCAGCTTGTTTTGACTGCCAGCGGACGCACAGAGAACGAATGACACGCTTGACAGTGCTGATGCATACAACAGTGGGGCCCAGGATGGGGCCGTCAGGCATCTCCCATGACTGCATATATACGACGCGTACTCCAACGCGAGACAGCGTGGCCCATGCGGCAGTGAACGGAGCTTTGATGGACTTCCAAGGCGTCGGCATTCCCTGCAACTGAGAATATGCAGCCAATCTAGCAGCTCAAATGAAGCGATGCGGCAGCCATTCCTCCCGCCAACGCTGCAGGGGAAAATTGTCAGGGAGCCGCGTAGCACGAAACATAGGATCAATATCCGCAGTGGGAGCAACCATCAGCGCCAACGTACGAGACCCCCCCATCAGGATGATGACCTTGCAACTTACCAGCCAGGGGGCGCAGCTGGCCCAGCTCGCCGCGGTTAAAGCCTTGCACCGCAGTGCCATAGCTGAGCGCACCTTCCAGCGCAGCACGCGCCATGCCGCCAAGCAGTTTCCCGCGAGGCCTGCCCGGCTTCAAGCAGGACATGCACCTGCGCCGGGCTATGACGTTACGAAGCCGTGCTTTAACAAGTGGCTTGCCTCGAACTCGCCCTGCAGCGTAGCCAGCGCCAAGATTAGGCTCTGAAGCCACGGGGAAGACTCCAAAACGCTGCAGAGAACGGCCCAGAGATCGACGTAGCCTGATACAGTTAGGAACAACGCCCCTTGCCAACGGCGAGCTGTATGTCAATGTTGGTCAGCAGTCGCGATAATAACTTTGACGCTCCATCTAGATCATGCAGCGCGCGCGATGCAGTCCCATATCGCTGCGGCGCAAGATCACCCACATTGACAGACGGCATGACACAACGATAAAGCAACTTGCAGTTTTCGCAAAGGCCCCAGTAACAATAACTGGATCATGGCAATAGCAGAATGACATCATGGCACGATAGTCTGCTCAGCAAGAATCACATCGCTGACAAGACCTTGCACATCCAGGACTCTGGGCATACGATGCGTGGAACTCAAGAGTTCGAGCACCCATAGTGGGAAGCCACTCTCGAGGACGGCCTGAATCAAGTGGTGATGGCGCACAAGCTCAAACGCCTTCTTTAGATCGAACACTTTGGTTGTCGTGGACATGCCTTCTAACCGTGGAATACTCTGACCACGCGCTGGATATCCAAACGCACCTCTCTGAATATCCCCCTTGACAGACCACCGAAAGGTCTGAAATATTTGACGTTGCAATTGCTGCGTAAGGGGCCTCCGAAGCCTACATTGCACAAGACATAGCACATGTAGAAGTCCAAGAGGCCGTGCGCCCCCAAGACGTTGGGAAACATACAATGCGTATCCATGCAGCAGGCCACGCAAGATCTCCCTCACCTGCACCTGTAAGATCACACAGTATAGCCAATGCTTCATCGGGAAGAAGAAACAGGCGAGGAGAGCACTGATCAAACCCCGCCCCCGTAATGGCTTTGAAGGACATGAGAACCCTCTTCAAGTAGTCAACCTTGGGAGGTGGAGGTGTCTCTCCGAGCTCTGGAGGCCATTCGAGAGCTGGATGATGACGCGGTACTTGCCACCATTTTCCCCAGTCAGGCTTCAACGCCTGCATCTGTTCACGCGAAGTGGCTGGCCGAAGCGTGGAATGTGCCGCGCGCGCAGGCTGCCAGGGCGTCGGTAGATCCGAGTACGAGTACAGAGCGGACGCTCCATTGGTCGAATGCTTCTCGATCCATCGATGCCATTCACTCTCTTTGGACTTGGCAACTCTCTTAGCCTCGGCATCGCCCGCTTGTCTCGACAAGGTCACCAGGGTCTGTGCCACTGGCACTGGCAGACGTCGCGCCTTGCACAACAGTCGCGATCAAACCCCATACAGATCATCATCCGGAAGAAAATGCGACCGCGAAAGCCTCCCAAGACGATTCGCTGCCGATTCACTGCATCAACCCAGACTTGCATCTTGTGGGGCACCAGGCGCTCCACTAACGACACGTGAACCTTCTTCCACCAGGCGGCAATCGCGGACAGCTTGGGGAACCTAGGGGGGCCTGGTCTGCGGAGCATCTGGGTGGTGATCTGGACGGGCTCAGACCTACCGGTGTACTTGTCCACGTCCTCAGGCGAGATCTGAAAAAGCTGCAGCCACTCATCTTCACAGTGCCTGATGAAACATGTCCATTTCTTGTGTGCACTATCCTCTCTATTCACCTCCAGTGCGATCTCATCCCGCTTGGACGGGGGCAGGCGGCGGTGCGCAGCCGGGCGGCAGCTCCAACGGAAAACGACGAGGAACCTTCATCACCTGGATGGTCGCATCAGCTGGCAACGCCGCCGAACACTTCTGCGCAGGAAAATGATGGGCAGTGGGGATATCCGACCGCACAGTACATGTACAACAACGAGCCAGCACAGCACTGACCACAAACTAGTCAATGTTGTTGTTGGCTGGCCTGCAGGTGCATCGACCTGCAGGATAGATTTCGGCGTCAAGAGCAGCCGTCCATCCACTGCTCCGCAACGCATCAGGACCACTTGGCCAATCAGCTGAGATTGCGAAAGGCAGCACAACTTGCTTGAGGAACAATCCAACCTTGGATAGGACTCCCTAGTCGAAGGCCCCCAAACAAGACGAATGCCTCAAGTGCATAGTCACAGAGACGATGCCTCCCCGAACGACGCCTCCAATGCGCAAAACAGTGGCCCTTCCAGGCCAGATGATGTGATTGTGCCCTAAGACCTCCGAGAGCCCAATGTGAGACGGCGCCAAGATTCCCAAGCCTCCAGCCAGTCCTCCAATACCCTTGGGAGCCCCAGGGATCAACTTAGCTGAATAACCTACCTTGCGCAATTGCGCCTCAGGGCTGTCGCATTGTGCTGGGGTCAGGCGCGCGTCCCCTGTACACCGACGATGTCGAATCGTGGTTTGGATTCTTGAACACGTTCAAAACTGGACCATGTAGTGATGCCGGCAGTGAGGAGCTCCCACCTTTTGGAAGAACAAGAGACAGGCGAAGGCACGCGATTGTCACCCACTTTCAGGTTGCTCTGGCTCACGCTTGCACTGCGCCCCCTTAGCTCTCCTCTCGATGCGCTCACCACGCTGCCTCTTGATGGAGTCATCAACCGCCGAGACAGGCCCGCGACGCTGATCCAGAGACAGACCCAAATGAAGATGGCGATCGCGAAGAGCCTCCAACGACGA